GGGAATTAATTTGGACGGGATTCTCTTCGAAAGAAAGGCAGCTTGGGACACGAGGGAAAAAGGGGAGGTCGGCGGAAGACTATTATTCTGGGTGAGCGGAAGGGAAAAGGAAGTCTTGGACGAGCGGAATTCTCCTGTGACATCGCGGGGATAGAGATAGAATTGGAAAAAGGTGGCTGGGAACAAAAAGAATTGGACGGAAATTCTTTTTGGAGAAAGCAGCAGCGAGCAGTAGGAGCGGATTGGCAGTTGGCGATCGTCCTCTCCAAGGCAGCTTGAGCGGAGTTCCACGAGAGCGATTATTTGGTTGGATTTTCTGAACCAAATTAGTTGTTTATTATTGATTTAGAATATGATGATCAAAACTTTATCGATTTATCTCAATTTCATCATGAACTAAACCCCAATTTCTGAGGGAAACACCATAGGATGTAGCTATTTCTTGATTTGATGGATTGATTCGTATTTCTTTTCTTCCAATCTCTATTGCATGAAATTACTTAATGCTTTGTGTTGACTGGCCACCAATACATTGATTTGTAGTTGATTAGGTTATTAGCGACAGTGAAACCCTAATAACGGAACATATTTCATGTGACATAGTAACTTATCGAAGCGACAGTGGATTGAATAAGGTACTATGCGGTCTTAAATGGGATATCGATCTTCAGGCTAAATAATTAAGTCATTGAGCTACGACAGTAGGATTTGATTTAATTGTTTAGTACGTAGTAATTCCCGACAGGGATAGCTAGCACAGTAGTGATATCCTGGCTGTAGAGATATGGATTAAATTGATTGGAATATGTGAATTAATCTGGATAAGATAGGTAGCGATTCCCGGTGTTTCTCCCAAAGCTTCTCCCATTGAATTTCTCCCGACAAGTTTACTTGCTTAATTAGTTTAATTATTTTGCTTTCGGTTAATAATCTCATCAACCAAACCATTTTTCACCTATAGTTTGCTCCATAGAATCGGTAAATCATAAGGTTGTACCAGTCCCTGAGAGACGATACCCGGACTTTCCGGTTTACTACGAGATAGGAAATTGGCATATATGCTTTTGCCCTATCAATTATAAATAGTGCATCCAAATAAAGATATACAGAGCAACACCCTCAAACTAGGAAAAATAGCAATCAACATAAAAACAACATGACTAACTAAGACCAATACGATATACCTTCCAGAACCAACTTTACATAATACTAGTACCTAGCCATGTATGATATACCTAGCAATTGTGGCCAACTTAATTCAACAATATATCGCAACATGCAGGAGCTTAAGTAAGTAAAGTAACTAGCTGGGGGGTTGTTAGAAACCAAGTTTCTAACGAGATTCGGATTGGGTGATATTTGAGAATTTAGGCATTGAAATATAGAATTAGGGATTTGGAGAAGAATTGGGGGAAGAAGAATGGTCGGCGGCCGGATTATGGAAGGAAGAGAAATTGAGAGGATTTGGGAGGGACTAGGGTTTAGGGATTTTCTTAATATGCTTCTTATTGATTCTGAATGAAAACCTAAAGTACATATTTACAAGGAAATAAACCTAATTCTACTAAAAGACTACTAACCATAATAAGAATTACCCTAATGATAATTATAATAATAAATAGAAAAACCTTACTGAAATCAGTTTCTAACATCTCCTCCCCTTGAGACCAACCTTGTCCTCAAGGTTGCAGCTAGCTTCACAGACGTTCCACACCTTTGTTGCAATCAATTGACGTAGTCGCAGCGTTTTCTTTCGCTTCCTCTTCTTCCAGTTCTGATCAAGCTTACGAGCAACTCCGTCATTAGCAGTTCCATGTATGGAATAATCATTCCATCCAGGCTTATTCCCCTTCTCGTGGTTGTTACCAAAACAACTAAGTTGCCTGAAGTCGAACAAGACCTCGAGAGGATGGACAACCATCGTTCCTTCCCTTTTTCCTTGCCTTGCTACCTTACCTATAACCTCCATCCAGCCTTGGTCCTTACGCACGAAACCACACAACCTTTCACTCCCACCTCATGCATTGAACAATCCGACCACCAATTTTCCATCCGATGCACGTCCACACTTCCATGAACAATTAAATCCTTCCCCCTACTTATTGTATCATTTATACTAGGGCTGGCCATTCGGTTATTGGTTGTCGGTTAACCGGCGGTTACCGGTTAACCGACTAACCGAAAAGTATGATCTCGGGCGGTTGGCGGTAGCAGGGCTAGCCGTGTCGGTTAACCGGCTAACTGATAGTGATAACCGCCGGTTAACCGGCTAACCGACAAAGCTAACCCCCTCTCAAAAATGCCGCCGCCCTCCAGTTTAGGCCCTAAACCCTAATCGAGCACGAGCAGAGACCCTCAATCTCTCATTCTCTCTAGTCTCTTCTGCAGCATAGCGAGAGTCGAGACCCTCCTCCATCTCCCTGCCGCTGCCGCCTGCCATCGCGAGAGTCGAGACCCTCCGCCAACGCGAATTCGCCGCCGCCCACCCGCCATCCCCTTCCTTCCACCGCCACGACCTCGGCCTCCTCTGCTCGCAACCAGCAGTTCGCCGCCGGTGCCATTCCAAAACGGCGACCGGTGCCCCTCTGCACAGGCCATTGAATTATGTAAGTTTACTTTGTCTTTCTAAAAGTATATGATTTGGTTCTCGTTTCCAATTAGTATATGATTTCAATTGGTGAAGCTTGTTTGAATGAGATGAGATGCTCATCATAATTGTGAATCCCATGTTTTGGTATATAGAGGGACGGAGGGAGGGAGGGAGAACTTAGCTAGCAAGGCAAGTTATAATTGAGGCTCTAGATTAACGAGAGAGAAAGAGACAGAGAGCTGAGGGATTGGGGGGATTTGGTTCTTCTTGCTTTGTGTTCGTCTTCTTTAATTGCTTGCTATTTCATATCTCTACAAGCCTTTGAATTATAAACAAATTTGAGCTGCTGACTTGTGAGGTTCTTTATCTTTTGTTATAATTAAAGGCTTGGTAGAGATTCTATTTTAAATGGACAGTTAACCATTACTGTGAGATTGCAAACTGTGGTATAATGAGTTTTGGCGTGTTTGGGTTATGCTGCTTTTTCACTGCTCTTTGGCTCTCTTTGCTCTTTGGGTCTCAATTTGTGTAATTGTTTTTGTAGGGTGAGACCTCCGGCTCCTCGTGGTGGACGTGGCGGACGAGGTGTCCCTACTGCTGCTACTGCTCCTCGTGGTGGGAGACCTCCGGTGACTCGAGGTCGTGGTGGTGCGACTGCTCCTGTTCAGACCCGGGTCGTGGTGGGCGTACAGGAAGTCGACCTGTTCAACCTACTGAAGCTGAATTGTCTTCATCAAATCCATTGATTCTCGCCCCTGTCGATAGGGGAAGTACACCTACCGGTACACCTGCCGAGACTCCTTCTGTTGACACGGGCGCTCCTGATTCAGAGACAGCTACATGAGACATTTTTTACTGCGAGAAATGGTTGAAGACGGTGGGTAAAGCTTCTTGTTGGAAGGTGTTTAAGGAGTTGATAGTTGATAGCTACCCGATGGGAGAGTGCATACACTGTCATACTCTAATCAAAGCTCATCCTCACAAAAATGGGACCACTACAATGAATAACCACATGCACTCATGTTTGGCTAAGTTGGCAGCAAATAAAAATCAGACAGTATTGCAGACATCAGAAGGTGGTCAAGTAAGTGGTTTATGGAAGTTTGATCAGGTAAAAGCTAGATATGCATTAGCCAGTATGATCATTATGGATGAATTGTCATTTCGCTTTGTGGAGAGGGAAGGATTTAAGCAATTCATATCTTCTTGGATAAAAAGATGGATTTAATTGGTTTTTTTGAATCAAGGAGCCAAGGAAGAGTTTCAATCACTACGGATACATGGAATTCTAATAACAACAAGAATTACATGTGTGTTACTACTCACTTTGTTGGAGCTGATTGGAAGTTGCAGAAGAAGGTGATAGCCTTTGTTCCCATCACAAGTCATACTGGAGTTGATATTGCAGAGAAGCTTGCAGAAGTTCTTGAAGAGTGGAAGGTGAAGAATCTGTTCTGCATGACCATGGACAATGCAACTTCAAATGATGTTGTCAGTGAGTGCATGATAACGAAGCTAAAGGAGTGGGGGTGTGATTTGCTGGATGGGAAGTTTCTACAGTTTCGATGTGTTGCACACATCATTAAGGTACAAGATGGACTGAAAGTTTATGACTTTATGTTCTAGTATTCGAGACATTAATTTGGTGATTTAAATCTATTTTCTATGCAAAAATTATTGAAACTTGACTTGTGGAGTGATTTAGATGTGTAGGGCTGAACGTTTAATTTTAGGCAATTTTTATCGATCTTGTTTGCATAGGGGTGTTGTCCGGTTCGGTTACTCGGTTAAAACCAGTTTACATCGTGTGTTGGGGTTACTTCGGTTAACCAAGAAACTAACCGGTAACTGACCGGTTGGTTGCCGGCTGACCGATGGTTCCCGTCAGGCGGTTGACGGTAGGCAATACTGCCATCGCGGTTAACCGGTAACCGACATTTTGGTTATCGGTTATAACCAAACTAACCGAAAATCCAGCCATAATTTATACCAATAGCTTCATTGTCATGACGGTCACAGTCATCACACATATCCCAAGCATGGAGACTGTCCAACTCGAAGCAAAGTTGCTGGCATTGAACATATCTCGCCCGTACCATATGGCAACCAAGACCCCTTCCCTGTAGCTCTGAACAACGAAAGGAAATGCCATGGAATCAAAGCAGTCATTGCTCACAGCTTTTGAACTCTCACCACAAGCTTCTTCCGCCGTCTTCTGCTGCTGGCTAAGGTACCGATACGGATGCCCCTCCATAGACAAGGGTTCCTCAGCTGCAGCGCTACACTTCTTTTGACTCTCGATCACAAACGGCTTTCACGCTGGAGGGAAGTGGGCGATTCGACCAGCAGAGCTCAACATAACCAATAGGATGATGATCATTAGCAATGGCATGCTGGTCGAACTACGTGCCTACTTCCCGAACTTGGACAAATTTTGGAGGCTCGGGTCGACGATTGCCAACAGCTCGTGGAGGGCTGATTTGGCAATCCTTTCGATGGACAATGATATAGAGATAAGCTGCAACTTTATAGCTTTGGGTTCTTGTTGGCCATCCGCCTTCGACCACGGAAGCACCCCGCCTTCTCGTTGCCCTTCTCCCGGCAAAAACCACTTGGCGATGACTCGAGCTTCGTTGTAGGATATCTTCCCACTTGCCGCCGGATTCATCACTTGACAATAATAGAGCCGTCCCAAGTACTTCATACATGTACCAATGGAAGAGAATACTTGCCCTCGCGATGGACTCCACAGACCCACCAATTTCCATTAATCATATTTCTCTCGCAAGCAGTGGCACATAATTCCCACAATAGACTTGCCCTCGATGACCCGTGGAGAAAAAGTTTGGGAGGCATCTCTCCGCCTGCTAATTGCAAATACAAAATCATGGCACACAACCTTGGGAATCCTAGTAAACTTACTCGATGAGGAGGCCTCCCTGAACAACTGCGCTATGTCCCTGCCTGACGCATAAATCGCCCGATCCGGTTGTTCGAAGACAAAGGGATCGAAGCTGCCTGTGAATCGCAGTAACAGCTTAATGTATGTGCGTCCCAAACCTTCCGCTATAGCCTGCGTTTTCAACACCTTAGCTCATAGGCCACGAGCCGTCGCCAGCCGCAACCACTTCTCGGCCAAGCTATTATTATCAGTCTTTTTTATAATGATGATTAACTTAAATTAAGGACAAAGTATCCAAAATTAAGTACATGAACAAGATTCCCACGAGAAGTGAGAAAGGGGAAGAAGAAGAAAAACAAAAACCCAAGCTCTCGGGCAAGAGCAGAGCATAAAAAACGAAAGAACAGAGGGGTTCAAATAGAACAAAAAACTAAAAAAGACGAAACCAATTCAAGATGAGAGCGAATTTGGAGGCAGGATCAAACAGCTGATAATTCCCGATGAGCACAGTATTCCTGTAAGAAGAATATCCCTTGATTCTAGTCGATTTTTCTGTGCACTGTGATCCATTCCACTATTGCTCTAGATATCTTCTTAGCCACCACAGAAGGAGGGCAACAATTTCCTTGAAAGATACGTTGATTTATTTCCTTCCAAACATGCCAGCATATCGCATGCAGGGCACATGAGCCGAACCAAGCTTCAACTCCCACAAGACTAGAAGCCTCATTATGGTTAATGATGCTTGAGATGTCTCCTGAAGACCGATCGAGAAAAGCGATATTACTGAACACCTCCTCCCAAACTTTCTTGGTAAAGCAGCAATCCACCATTAGATGGTTAATCAATTCTTCATTCCTGTAGCATAGTTCGAACCGGCTAGCCAACATGATGCCTCGCCTTTTCAGGTTGTCAAGAGTGAGAATCTTCGTGTGCCAAACAAGCCAGAGGAAGCCGCAAACTTTAGTAGGGATGACGCTTTTCCAGGCTATCTCATATTTGAACTCAGCTTCTCCATCGAACTTATCTTGCACCCGAGCCTTGTGAAATGAACACACAGAAAACACACAATCTGTGGTTGGGTTCCACACCACTCGGCTAGGGCTATTAGTGATTCTGGAACTATTTTCAGAGATTAAATTTAAGCACCCCACTCTCTCAATTTCAGCCCCACCCCTTAAAGAAAGCGAAAAAGGAATTTCCCACACTACTTCCTCACCTGACCAGGAAACAAAGTCAGCAAGGCTTGCATTCGGAGAAGTAGCAGCAGCAGCAGCGCGCGGAAAGGAGTCCGCCAACAAGACGCCAAGAATCCAGACGTTGTGCCATAATGAAACAACAGTACCTGGACCAGGCTTGATACTCGCTTCTTTCCAGAATAGATAATCCACCTTACAAATGTTTGCCCATACCGAGCTATTAAACCCGGCTTCAATTTTCCTGGTTTTCCATTCCGAGATTGAACGGTAATATTTCCCACTAATGAGTTGCCTCCACCAACTTTCTCTTTCTGTTGCATATTTCCACAACCATTTGCCAAGCATTGCATTGTTGAAACTTTCAAGATCAACCACTCCTAATCCTCCCTTTTGCTTCGAAGCTTTGTAGAGATCCCACTTAACCAAGTGAACTTTGCTCTCCTCCTTCGCACCACTCCATATGAATCTTCTTTGAATCTTCTGAAGGATGTTGAGAACAGTTTTTGGCGCTTTGAGCAACATAAAGTGATAAACGGACAGGGTGTTTAGAGTGGACTAATTTAAAGTCATCCGAGCCCCCAATGAGAAAAAATTGCTTTTCCAACCCTATAACCGGGCTTGGTATTTATCCACCACCTAGTTCCAAATATAGATGGAGTTAGGGCAATCCCCTAAAGGAAGACCAAGGTATTTAGAGGGTTCATCACTCCATTTGCAGCCAAAGATTAATGCAAGGTAACTAGGGTCAGGAACATCCCCCACGGTAAACATCATAGACTTGTCAAGGTTGATTTTCAGCCCTGTAACTGTCTGAAAACATATCAAAGTAGCAAGAATTTTGAGGACTTGTTCGGCATTAGCGTCGCAAAAAATCAGGAATCATCAGCAAAAAGAATGTGAGTAACTTCACCATAGTCTTCTCCTCCTTGATTGCTCCAGGGGGTCTCGGGGTAATACCACTCGGACGGTGGTGTATACCCCCAATGGTTGGAAAAGCCATGAGGATCCATGATTCAGATCTGCACCAAAAATAACAAAAACACCCAAGTGAAAAGCAAGGGTGGAAAAGTAAAGAAGCACGCTAAAGTAACAAACTTCTGCCTTTCCTAATAATCTAGAAAGTCCCCGGCAACGGCGCCAAAAACTTGCCACGCTACGACACAACTCCTAACAATGGCCAAGCGTAACCAATGAAAGGGACTGCAGTATAGTGGCTCAAGTAATAAATATCGAATGCCCGGGTCTCTAGAGTTACTATTACTCAGCTTCAGTTCATTATTTAGCAAACCAGATTAATAAGGAAGAACTAAAACTACTCTAGCAAACTACAGTTAAAGTTAATCTAATTACAGGTTGGGAACTCACTTAGGTATGATTCCCCCTAGCCACTGGCCAGATTAACGATTGATGATTTCTAACTTGTTTCACTTTCATTCACAATGCGGAGAATCCTTGACTAGACCTTGAGTCTCGACTAAAGGAACAAGGCCCTCTTGAGTCAATTGCCTAGAGGGACGTATCCTTCTCTAGAACAACCGATCAAAGCGTTCTGAACTAGACTCCCTCTATCGAAAGAGGTTCTCAATCGATACAAAGAAGTTAATCAACCCTCGACTAAAGCAATCGATCCACTACTATCAATCTATGGTGCTCTATTGACCTAATCAGGTATTCGCTCTCATATGATCAAAGCAGAATCAATAATCTCGACTAAAGCAGAATTGAATCATGAAAACATGCATAGATTGAATATGAACTCAAGATTATCAAGTAGGAGTACTCATACAATCATCCAATCAAACAAACATGGCTAGGGTTCCTCAAAACCTAAGTGAAGGGAAGTTACTCCATAGAGAGGAGAGAGAATGCAGTAAGAATCTTTAGATGATCAGTCTTCAAGTTCGACCTTGTTCCTCGAGCTTCCAAGTCGAATAAATCCTCCAATTCCACTCTTAGAATGCCCTCAAATGGCCCTCTCTCTCTTTGGTTTGTCCCTTGGGTGTTTGGGATCCAAAACCCAGCTCTCTATTTCCTTTGGCTTCAATCTGCCTAAAAAACCCGATTTTAGGCAAAACATGGTCGAGGACACAGCTGTGTTTTACTTTTGCCTGCCCGTGTTTTTCCCCCAGCAGCCCTCGTCGGCCAAAACACGGTCGTGCCTAAATATGGACACGGCCGTGTTTTTCTTTAGGCCAGCCCGTGTTTTTACTGCCGAACCTGTTCCCCTATATTCAATGCATCGTTTCTCCCTCGTACGGACTCTGAATCAGTCGCCGTTTGATCCCAGACGCTCGTAGTCTCGTCCTCTTTCTTTTCATGACAATCTTGCATGATTATTTGTCCATAAATTGAGGTATAAATCAATTCTTCTTCAGGTCATGCCCGAGTTTCTTCTCCCTAATCGCCAATTGATCTCTGATTGACTTGAAACTTGCGCCTATGCTTCACTTTATGTGCTAGGACCTGAAATGTGACAAAGGAACACGACCTAGCGTAAAATAGGCCAAAGACGCGATAATTAAAGCTCAAACAGTCAAGAAACAAAGGGGAAAACATGTGCAAATATCGAGTCATCAATAATAGGTCCATAACCAACACAAACATCCCCGGGGAGAGGGGATCCCCTTTTCGAACACCTTTGCTCGCTCGGAAATAACCATAAGCTTCTCCATTCACCAGGATAGACGTCATTGGAGAGCATAAGTCACCTTTAATCCATTGTTGCCACTTACTCGGAAAACCCAATCTATCCAATACATTAAAGAGGCAAGAACAACTGATGTTATCAAAGGCTTCTTCAATATCGAGTTTAAACATTAAACCCGGTTTTCTATTCTTCCTTCTGTTGTCCACAAGCTCATTAGCGATGAGAGTTGCCTCAGAAATGTGTCTACCATGAATGGAGGCATACTGATTCTGCATGACCAGCTTTGGGAGGACATAGCTAAGACGTTTCATTAAGACCTTGCTTACCAACTTATTCAAACTATTCATCAAGCACATCGGACGGAGGTCTTTAACACTTTCCACCACATCGACTTTTGGAGTTAGGCAAATGAAGGCATTAGTAATGCAATCCGGTAGGTAACCTGTTTTATGGAAGTCACCAAAAGCACGAAGAACATCATCCTTGAAAAGTGGCCATCATTTCTTGTATAATTCTAACGTAAATCCATCCGGTCCCGGAGCCTTTGACCCATCACTTGAGACTAAGGCATCCCAGATTTCCTTCTCGTTGAACGCTCGAATTAGGTGGCTGCAATCCACAGAAATCAAAGTAGGATAGGCATAAAGGTTTGGAAATTGTCTATGAGGAATTGGTTCTTCGAAAAGAGCCTTATAGTATTCTGCAATTCTGGTTCCGAGCTCCTGTTTCCCTTCAACCATCACTCCTTTAATTTGAATCCGATTAATGGTATTAATCTTCCTTCGGTAGTTAGCAGTCTTGTGAAAGTATCTAGTATTCCTCTCCCCTTTCTGGTTCCAATTCTCCCTGGACTTCTGTCTCCAAGAGATTTCCTAGAGGTTGGGAGCATTCTTCAATTCCATCCTCCAACCCTCTCTTTTAATGAAATCAGCTTCCTGAAGAGACCCAATTTCTTC